CTTTTCCTTCATTGCCCAATGTCGAGGTGGACCTGTTTTAATTTTGAAATGTAGCTCCACACCACCTAAACTCCACTGAATGGAATAATAAAATCTTTAAGATGTAAGGCTTGCCTTCCTTTCTAGGGTTGAACTTCAACTCCATGAGTTTTATTCTCCTCTTCCAAACAGAGGTCAACTAGCAGCTATCCATCACCTGAAACCAACAACGGTTTCTTTTTGTCCATACACAAATCACCTTTCAAAATTCGCTTCAAGATTATTTTTACCATGAAGTTCTCCCTGACTGTGCTCCAACTCTTGCAGGCCCCACCTTATATCATGACTTCGTCTGGGAATCATTTCTGCCATTCTGTTGTCACTGGAGATGTTACGTTACAAATACTGGATCTACATCCTCCGTACAATTATGGGCCTTTTGGGAAAGGCAGGTGAGAAGGAAAAAAAAAAAAAAAAAAAAGGATATAGGCTTTGGAGTTTGAAAGGACGAGTGCAAACTCTAGTTTTATCATTTTTTATTACATCAACTTTGCCAAGTTACTTCACTTGATTGGTGAATGGGAATAGGAATAATACCTATTTTGTGAGGTGTAATAAGAAGAAAATGATGTAATCTATGTAAAGTACTTAGCACGAAGGAGAGAGTCAATAAAAGCTCAGTATTCTCACAAAACATACAGAATATAACAATTATAATGACCACAGCTGTCTTTTGAGTATGTTCTGTACACTGTGTGCTACGTGGTTTGTATGTGTAATCTCTTATACACCTATAACAAATGTGGGAGAACTGTATGATTGTCCCCATTTTATAGATGAGAAAAGACCCAACAGCCAACATGTTATGGCACCAGAGTTTAAGCTGAGACACAGATATTCCAAAGCCTACTATCTCCATTTGGACATCTCCAAAAGTTGATTGAGTTCTAAAGGCAAAGTAAGTGGTCAACAAGTATTTGCTGAATTACTTAATCCATTGTTAATCCACTTTTATCATTATAATGAATGTAGTTTTCATAGATAATTTAATTTTAATTAATTAAAAAAATTAGAGTCTCCTCTCTAAAATACCTTAGTTTAGAAGCCTTCACTTTTTAGTCCTGAGGATGTTTTTGCTAAGCCTTCCCCACTTTTGAAGACCAATGTCCAGAAAGACATTGTGTATCCTGGATACTTTTATTAACTAGCCATTATTTCTTTTCTTTAAAAAATAAAAATATAACCTGGATTGAGGTAGAACACATTCTTCTTAGTAAAGCATCATAAAAATATAGAAGCAAGAATTCAATATACTCAATTCTAATATGAAGGCAGTAGATGATCTAATACAATACAAGGTGGGGGGTAGGGCAATGAGGGAGTGGGGGGAAAGGTGGAGGGAAAGAGTTGGGGGGGGTCACGGTGTATGGCACACCTTTTGGGGGCAGGACACAATTATAACCGGGACTTTACCTAACAAATGCAATCAGTGTAACCTGATTCTTTGTATCCTCAATGAATCCCAAACAATAAAAAAAAATTAAAATAAAAAAATAGCAAAAGAAAGACATATAATTGCCACCCAAGTCTTCTGATCAACAACCAAAGCATCTCAGTTACCCAGCTAATTGGTACATAGACCTAAATTTTGTATTAAAATATTTCTTATTGATTGGAAAGGATGCAAACAGGGTCATGTAGGAAAAGATACAGAGTCTCATACTAAGTTCTCTCAGTATGTGATGCTAGATGTGGACATAGAAGTTAGTGGTATACATACTATTTTTGAAGTAAAAGTAAAATATATATCAAACAAAAGGAGGATATTTTTAAAGAAGGTGAAAATCATCGGATTTCTGTTAGCATTTCTCTCTCCCTTAACACACACTCACATATATACCCCCATGCATGTGCACATGTGTACATCAGAGCATCCGTTGAAGGCTATTGCTTATATAAATAGTACTTTGCATTTTGTACCCATTTTCCATCAATGCAGCTCACTGATTAAAAGTCTGCAACGTGCCCCCTATCTTGTTTGCCTTTTTTATAATGTACATTTTTTTCTCACTTCAAATAAATTCCCCAAATAGGAATTAATGATAAAATAATTAAAAAAATAAAATTCCACACAACTGATATCTCTTAAATGAAGTCCATCATATGAGCCTCAGTAGGGGATTAATTTAATTAACACAAACCTTATTCATGCTATTTAGAGGAACTTCTGTAATACATTTGTACAGAAAGCAATATTGGGTCAAGTCAGGCCAGGTGCTCATTAGAGTTTTCCAGGGCTATGGTGCAAAACTGCTTCAGTTACACAGTGACATCTTAATAATTTTCAAACACTTCTCTTAAATTCTAAAAATACCATATGTTGAAGTGTGCTTTTCCTGCAAGACATGGCAATAATTGGTGAATTTTTAGGTGTTTTTCTCCATTAAGTAGAGGTAAAAGAAAGAGAAACATATATCTAACTATTCCTTATAATCATTTTACAACCATGCTGACTTAAAATAGTTATCCTGTCTTTCTAAAAACACTATGTACAGTACTTCTGTGGGACATTTATGGTAATAAGTAGAATAAAAGCAATAGAAAAAAGGTGTTTCTGAGTGTTAGGTATGAATTAGAAGTAATACTTAATTTCACATGAGATAATCATTAAGGAACAAAGTTACAAAACTATAAAAAGATCTCTGAGCAAATATCTCAAAATTTTCACATCATATTTTGCATAATGTAATTACTGTTATTTAATTACATTTTTGCTGATATTTCTTCTTTAAACCTGTAAGAAATAGTCTTTATATTACATATTTTCACTAAACCAAATGGGACTATTACTGAATATAGTTTAATATACTTATTTAAGTATAAATGTGAAACTTGTTTTTTAAGATAGCACTGTGGATTAGTATAATTATTATTAATTGCACAGTGTTCGAACACATGCCCTTTAGTCCCAATGGCAGATGCAATTTTTCAAGAGCAAGCGGTGCTGATCCTATAATGTGCCTGGCCTCTCTCTCTGCCTTTACTCAATTCTTTCCAGAGACAGAGGAGGAATTTTATATGACTGAGTTTGGAAGGAGGTATGGGCCTCTGTAGGGTAGTTCCCCATTCTGCTAGAAACCTCTCTGGGCTTTAAAAGTTGCTCTGCTTTAGCCTCAGCCCAGCTTTGCGACTGAGGTTCAAGTCTACCTAAATCTGGACCTCAGTAAGAGAAAGTGCGCTTGCCTGTACAGATATTTCAGGTACTCCTTTATTAGCTTTTAACAGAAATAAAGGCACTATTTTAATTTCTTATATATCTTAGTTGATATCTTTCTCAGTTGATTCAGAACTTGGGTGGCAAGCGGGAGAGTTTTTGCTGAGCTCCCTGAACCCTAAATGGATAGATTTACTTCATTCCTTTTATCCACTATATTGCACCCAAATGAGGATTTCATACCTGTCAATAGACAGGAGGAACATATTACAAAGACATTTAGTTCACATAATTTGTATAAAACCACTAGGCACAGTACCCATATTTAAAGCAAGTCAAACAAAAGTTAACTAAACTACTCCCTTTGAAACAAACAAAAAAAGCCATATATTTCTTTCTAAAGGGCATAAGTTCTGCTTATCCCCACAGGGTACACATATACATTTATAGGTATGCATAATTTTATTTAAAGTATCCTTACTTTGTATATGCCTATACTCCAAAATATATATACACATATATATACATATATATACATGTATGTATATATATACAGTCCACAATGATTTCCACACTTATCATTGTGGAATTTACACTGGCCAGGCACTTCACTTGTTCTAATAGTCAAGTCACATTAATTGTAAGATTGCTCTTTTTTTGTATATATAAACTATGTCACAGTATTTAGTGATGCAAATATAAGGGAAATAGTCATGCAACTGCCAAGATTTCAAGTGATAGAAGAGGGAACACCAAACTTCTAATGATAATTGTTCATTTGGGTTGTTATTTCAAGAGGCATCATATATTTAAAATGCTCACATATGTTTATTTTTAAGAGCTGGAATAAAAGAGTCCATTGCTAAAAAGACATAGCTGTTGAAGTGTCAGGTAGCTGGTTCTGAAAAAGAACTTGCTACATACAATGTAGAAAATTCATATAAACAATCACTTTCTCTCAGGTCACTAGAATATCTAATCCTACCTCTGTCTAAAACAAATAATGTCAGCATTTTTCAGTATTAATTTTTGTTGGGTTCCATAAAATGCTGGGAATTTCTTAATTAGCTCTAAACAGAAGATCAATGATAAACAACATAAATTCCTACAAAGATTCCTTTAAAAATAATTGAAAATCTTGTTGGTGTCTTAAGACCCAGTATTACACTGATGTTTCAGTTTCCAATCTACCTTGCTCTTTTCTTTCTCGGTTGATTCAAACCCAAGTGGCTAACAGGAGAATTTTACTGTGCTCCCTGAAACCTGAGAGGATAGATCCTTTCAGGATCCTTACTTCTTTTATCCACTAAAATGCCCCAAAATGATGCAGGATACACAATTATTCACAACGTTCTATTCTCACAACCACTAAGTTAGAGTTCTTCATTTCATATATAAAATGGAATTTTGCACCTCTCAGTTTCGAGCTATAGCACTTTAAATGAAACGAGAGATGCATTTGGAATCACAGAGTTTTGACTTCACTTATCCTATCAATTCGTTTTTACTTAATAAAATGAGGTGGGGTGAATCTTTATATTGTGATAAATCGTTTTCTCATCCTCATGCTATTTGCATAGGAATATGAACTTCTGGTTCCTGTCAAATGAGCCTTTATTACAAAGACGAGAATATAAATGCATGTGAGTCCCCATGATTTTGGAATATGTACCAACTACTGCAAACGGCTATGAATATTTATCAGTTGCTGTTATTAAAAAGACACTTTCTTTTCTCCCAGACTTTTTGAGTAAACAATTTCAAAATGTTACTCCATCTGTCAATGTTTTCTGAAAACAGTACAAACCTTCCTTTTTGTCTTCTGGAATAATCTTCACTTTTGTATCTGTTATATCTTTGAATGAGGCCAGAAAAAGTACCACATCTCCTTTCTCATTCTTTATGGGAACAATATCCAACAGGCACCAGAATGAAGACCCTGCAACCATAATAAAAATATGAGTCAAGCATTGCCTTGTGTTTCTTTCTATAAAAAGCTCAATCGTTCATGACAACAAAGCCCTTACTGTTTTTGTTCTATCCCTCAACTCCCCCCATCTTAAAAATGTTAGTTTTCATATTCCACAAATGTCTATCTTACATGCATATCTCTTCATTCCCAAATGAAATGCTTTCTCTGAAAATAAGGCAGTATTTTTTTTATTCAGTTTTTGGCTGGGGCAGGGCTTGAACCCACCACCTCTGGCATATAGGGCCAGCGCCCTACTCCTTTAAGCCACAGGCGTCGCCCAATAAGGCAGTATTTTAAACAAAAATACTTGTGTGCCCTGAGACATTTCTTCAATTCTTCAAATTGCATTTCTTCTTTAAACCTGATGTTCAAGCATTCTATTTTATGACCCTGCCCTTTCCCACCTACCCCTCCACCACACACACACACTGGTTATTCAATAAAGATTTTTGTTTGGTTGAGTTTGCTAGAGGTTTATTTAGTCAATTTAAAAATCAAAGATCACCTACTCAAAATGATAAAATACCAAGTTTAGGGGAGTATATACATGCCCATTTTGACTCTCATATATAGCTAGCTATTAGCAAATTCATATATCTTCTTTAAAAACTTTTTCGGGCAGCACCTGTGGCTCAAAGGTGTAGGGTGCCAGCCCCATATGCCAGAGATGGTGGGTTCAAACCCAGCCCCGGCCAAAAACTGAAAAAAATAAAATAATAAAAACTGGTTTTCAGTATTGAGATTTATTCTCATAATAGAACATTATATATCGATGTGAATGAGCGTTTTGCAATTGTTTGTAATCAAATAGACGAATACCACCAATACAAGGTTGAAGAAGAGTAGCCAAATACAAATGAGCAGAATGAGATACAAATTCATTTATAGGAAGGACCAACACAGGCGAAACTAAGCTAATGTGTTAAAAGTCCAGGTATTAGTTGGAGAGACAGTGATTAGAACGGCATTCAGGTCGAGAGTTTGTGGGATGTTGGTCAAGTTTTGTTTCATGTTCTCTGTGACGCAGATATAGGAGTGTTCCGCTTTTGAAAACTCCATGTATATTTTAGCATGCATGTCCCATTTCAAAATCATTTGAAAAGGCTATAATTAAATTCAATTCTATTTTATGAGCAAAAGAACCATGAGAAATATCATCCTCATATGGTAGCCATGGAGTCTGGCCTAAGGTTTATAGGAAAGATTTTTTTATATATTTAAAAATAAGAATTTTGAAATGATGTAAAAATTTCCTACCAAAAGGCTTCTGGACAGAAATAGTTGACATTGAAGAAGTTTTTGTTGCTTAAAAATCTAAACTATTATATTCATCTATTTACCTATCACTTCCCTTCATTTTCTTTTGATGAGGGGAGGACTTTGATACTGTGAATCTCCATCTTATTTGGGAGTTTGACTTGTTTTGTATGTACTGTACCAATTAATAATACCAGTCAGGTTCAATGCAAGGTGCTTTACACTTAGCTCACTTATCCTTCCCTTCACTGTTTTCCTAGTCTCTCTACCAAGCCCACCACACTAGATCTCCAACAACGCCTTCAGCTTTGCACAACTGCCATAGCTCAAGGTTATTCCCCAGGGTCTGGGTCTCCTTCTCTTCCCTATAGGAGTAAAGATGATTGACTTTTCAGTCAGTAGCAATTCAGGTGAGGGCAATCAATTTCTCCTAGGGTTAAAGTGGGAGGTAAGTCCCTTAGCCTCGAATTTAGAGAAATGGATGATTCTTAAGAGCGGTGTTAAAGGGCAGACATCTTGTGTGAATTTTAACTCCTTCTGTATATAGCAGTAGTAATTACCATGTGGGTGTGGGAGTGACAAAACAGATGAGGCTTGCCAGGATTTAAGTTAATAACACCTTTAATTTCCATAGATAAATTGTAGAGAGAAAACAGGGTTTATGCCTTATATGGTAAAATTTACTTTTGGAAGTGAATAGTTATACAAAAGCTTAAATCTGGTGGAATGGCCCTTGGTATTTTCTTTTTCTTGATTGGAAAACATGAGTTGCAGGTGAATTTGACTTGCTAATAGTTACATTTGTGAGAGGGCTCATTTGCTTTTCATATATCACCAAAAGATTACATTAGGCAATAGACAGAAACTAACAATAAGGTTTCCAGGATGAGCTCATGGCGGGAGGACTTCAATACTGTAAATTTCCATCTATATGGAATTAATAACTTGATACCAGGAGGTAAAGATAAAGGCACACTGAGTCATAAGGGGTCGCATGCTCTTTAATGACTGTGCTGTCAGGGTGGGGAACAGCTGCATTGCTCAATGTAACACAAGCCTGTCCTCATGTTTCTTTTATCAAGCAGGTTTTGAACAGATGACATTATAGCAATGATAACACAGCCTGAGTGTTAACACCATCAGTGTCACATAAGCTAAACATTTTCAGGTGCTTCTTATATTTCACAAGTAATCTGATGAGTCTAGTTCCCTATAACCACTGTCTCTGTGCTACTTGCTTTACAATATAATAAAAAGTTTGCCTGTTTTTAAAAGGTAGTCCAGGGATCATACCTGGGGCATGAGTGGGGAGAGGGCTGCAGGTAAAGAAGGCTCCTGGAAGGGGCAGCTGGGGGACTGGAGGCGACCTGCTGCAGGAATGGGAGTCCTCATGAACAGGCCAAGAGCTGCTGCTCCTTCCTCTTTATCCTCTTTGCTGCTGTTTGTTCTGGCTTCAGTCCATCTCTCACCCACTGTTCTGAAGTATTCCTCCTGCTCTAGTCTTCCCCCCAAGCCACTTCTGATAAACTTCAAAAATACAAGGTCCTGATTAAAAACACCCAATTGCTTTTCACTTCTGGCCCCGATCAGTATGACATTTCAGATTCTGACACAGAAGGTCTATTTTCAGGGGAGTGGAGAGGAGTATGGTGTGCAGCGTGAGGAGGTGAACTAAATGGAGGGTGGGGTGTGTATTAAAAAGGACGGGGGAGTTCCCTGGAGTACCCAGAGCTGCACGGGAGACTAGACTCTGAGGCATTCCTACCAGCACTTCTTGGTGTTTGTTTGTGGTTTACTGAGAGATGAAAGTACTGGTTCTTTAGAGAAATATCAGATAAAGCCTTCACCTTTTAAGTCTTCATCGATTTTGCCTTGAGTGGACATCTTCCCTCAAAACGCCCCAGAACACTAGTGAACCAAAGTGAAGGGAACTGGAACCCTGATGCTTTGTGTGGCAGCAGAGAGCAGAGTGGGGTAGACAGAAGATGAACTGAACCAACTGAAGTCCTCTCTGAACAGGCCAGTGGCCAAGAACTATCTTCATTCCAATGTTTTAGGAGGAGCTCATAAAACAATGTCTTCTAAATTTATTTCTATATTTAAAAAAAGACTGACAGAATACACATAAGATATTAACAGTGGTGGATTATGGAATTATAGTTCATTCTTCTTTTCTTCTGATCATATTTATTTCTAGTTTTTCTACAATAAGCATGAAGGAATATATAACGGGATTGTGACAACTCTAGGTTAGGGTAAGAGTGGTGAAATCACACTTCTGAGAAGACTGTTTTCTATATATTGTCTGTGATTTGGAAGACAGGTCTAAACAGATAACTCGATTTCAAACTTTAAGATAAGTTCTGCGTTATGTTAGGATATCTGACAGAGGAGAAGGGGGGGAGAGACAGAGAGAGAGAGAAAGAGGCAAGAAGGAACAAAGGAAGGGAAAGAAGAAGAGAGGGATGAAGAAAGGAAAATCAAGTGATGCTTAACTGATTTGGATGTACCAGCTATTTTCTCGCTTTTTTCATTTTGCTCCAAGTTCTCTTTATCCTTAAATACAAATATTTTATTCCTCTCCCAGGAGAATGTATAGTCACTCACCAGAAATCTCTAATACTAGGAACATGAAGAATCTGGAAACTTGAGATCTTAAAAATGTCCCCAAGATACGCTTCAGTCAATGACTCCAATAACCTTGCTCAAAAAATTTACTGTAATGTTGACCAGTAGGCCTATTACTTCTTTTAGTAAATCAAATTGGTTCAAATTATAAACATAAAGAATTCTTGCCTGTAGTTGCAATATATTTAGAGGAGGAATCGGGACTAATGAGAGACCGAAACAAAGAGGTCCTGAAAATGGAATGCCTACAGCAAGGACCCAATGATAATTGTCTTAGTAAGTATCTGCTAAGTGCTAGATACTCTGCCACAAGCCCTACATATATTATAATCTAAATTTTTCACTGATCAACATTTTACCACACTGAATTATATTTTTAAATTGTGGAAACAGATTTGTAATTTTTTCTTCAGGGTCACATAGCTAATAAGTGGGAAGGACTGAAACTTAAACAAAAGTCTTTGATTTTCTAAATGTGCTTTACTAATATTCTGGGAATGATCCTACTCTATGGAAAATTTTAGAAATTGAGTTTCACTTTGATTAAATTCTCCTTTCCACACCACATTCTATTGGGCATAATGACACATGTGCTTTTTAAAATATCCTTTTGTAAGAGAAAAAGAAGGAAGTTAGGCCTGTGGATAATCAGTAAATTTCACTTTCATTCCCCAGAATGAGTAGAATCTCTAGACGAAAGACCATTCAGCTATTTTAGTTTAAGGCTGGAATACATCTCTCATTAAGACTCACGTGACATTAATTCTTAAATTTGATTGTGTTTCCAATGAGGTAACGGGTTCTGGCAACCAGTGCTAGTGCTGCTTTCGGTATCCAGTTTGAGAAAAAAGAAATATACTGAGAAGCTTCACAGTTACAGCTTCTAAGTGCCATTACCTTAGTTGTTAACATACGTAGTAGTACTACATTTTTTTTTTTTTTTGAGACAGAGTCTCATTCTGTCATTCTGGGTTGAGTGCCGTGGCATCATAGCTCACAACAACCTCAAACTCTTGGGCTTAAGCGATCCTCTGGCCTCAGCCTCCCAAGTAGTTGGGACTACAGGTGTGGGCCACTATACC